ACACAGGACACGATGCCCACACACATCACACACAGACACAGGCACACACACACACAGGACATGATGCCCACACACATCACACACAGACACAGACGCACACACACACACACACATCACACACAGACACAGGCACACACACACATCACACACAGACACAGGCGCGCACACACACACATTACACACAGATGCCCACACACATCACACACAGACACAGGCACACACACATACACACAGGACAGGACACACACACACATCACACACAGACACAGGCACACACACACACATCACACACACACAGACACAGGCACACACACACACAGGACAGGATGCCCACACACATCACACACACACACGCGCGCACACAGGACCGGATGCCCACACACAGGGACACACTGAAACATAGGCACAAGCTCCTATGTCGAGAAGCCCATGTGGCTACATATGCACCACACACACACGCACACACAGACACAGGCACGCATGCACACATACGTACAACACACGTGTGTACAGAGACTCACACACTGGCATACACACTCTCACGCCGTTTCCCGCGTCTCTCCAGGACTCGTGCGTTCATCCTCCCACCGGGGCTGTGTGTGCCCGGCGCTGGGCAGGCAGCAGGGATCACGACAAAGCCAGCGCAGTCCTCACACGCTGCTGCTCATCATATTCCTCGAGTGGGGGGACTCGGGAGGGTGTGGAGGGCACGGAGGAGGCACAGCCCGTCTGACGCCCCCTGCCCCGCAGTCGGTGCCCATCATCTCCCACTCCCGCTGGCTGCTGAAGCAGGGCGAGCTGCAGCAGATGTCGGGCCCAAAGACGTCCCGAACCCTGCGGACCAAGAAGCTCTTCCGCGAAATTTACCTCTTCCTCTTCAACGACCTGCTGGTCATCTGCCGGCAGATTCCCGGGTGAGTTGACTGGCCTGGGGAGGCGCATGGGGGCGGGACAAAGCTCAGGCTTTGGGGTCAGGGCTAAAGGTGCTGTGCCGTCGTCCGGCTTTGGGCCTCCAGGCAAGTTTACTTAACACTCTGAGCCTCAGTTTCCCCTAGTCAAGTGGGGCTTTGCTCCCAGGGATGTGGAGAGTCCAGCTCAGCATCTGCACATGCAGATGCCCAGTGGAGTGGCAGCTGTTGTGGTTACAGGGCTGACCCCAGCCCACCATCCACACCCTGGGGTGGGTGCTGTTCTGGGATAAGGGAGCCAGGCATTCCCGTGGAGGCTTCCAAAAGGAGCTGAAGAGTGGCCAGAGCTGGGAGCCAGTCCAGCTGGTGGTCCAGGGGGGGCTCTCCTGGGCCCCCCACGGGCCTCCTGGGACTGACATGCCTGCCCTGCCTTCCGGGCCTCAGAGACAAGTACCAGGTGTTTGACTCAGCCCCTCGGGGCCTGCTCCGGGTGGAGGAGCTGGAGGACCAGGGCCAGACGCTGGCCAACGTGTTCATCCTGCGGCTGCTCGAGAACGCCGACGACCGGGAGGCCACCTACATGCTGAAAGCATCCTCTCAGTGAGTGCCACGTGCCGCCCACAGGCGCCTCTGCGTCACCTCTCTGTAAGGCCTTATCTGCCCACAAGCCCATTCCTAGTGGAACAAGGCCCCGAGGCTCAGCACACACCCTTGTGGGGGCGACTCTGTCAACACGCAGGTCCCATCCTTCCTTCCTCCAGGACCCTGCAGCAGTAGGGTCTGGGCTGGTAGTGTTGGGGTTTGGGGCCCCATAGGAGGTGGCCACACATTCCTGGGGGGGTGTGTGAGCACACGTGTGTGCCTGTTCCTGGGTGTGTGTGTGCACATGTGCGTGCCTGATCCTGGGTATGTGCACACATGTGTGTGTATGATCCCTGAGCACGTGTGTGCACCTGCTCCCGGGTGGGAATAGGCACGTGTGCACCAGGTGGGAATGGGCACATGTGCACGCCTGATCCCAGGTGTGTGCACGTACAGGTGTGCACCTGATCTTGGGTGCGTGTGTGCACATGTGTGCGCCTTTTCCTGGGTGTGTGCACGCACATGCATGTGTCCTTCGGGGCTTCAGACTCTGGGCGAGTCCCTCTTTTCAGATGATTCTTTACAGCCCTGAGCCAGGCTGTAAAGAATCCATCCTCCTCCTCCCCTGCCTGGTCACGCGCTGTGTGGCCTCAAGCTCATTCCTTCACCTCTCTGAGTCTCTAAGCAGCCAGGACACCCTCCCTGCACCCAGGGCTCTCCAGAAGGACAAACAAGATAAACGTGGGAAGAGATGCTTTGTGAGCTCCAGAGCCTGGAACTCCCTCGTGTCCTGCCGAGCCCCCTCTCGCCTCCCCTCCTGTCCCCCAGCTGCCCCTCACCCACAGCTTAGCAGGTGTCCTCTCTTGTCAGGGCTCTGGCGTGGGGGCAGCGGAGGGGTGGGAAGCTGGAGCTGGCTGTGGAATGTGCTTTTGCGAGTGGGATCTCATGGAGGGCTTACCTCGCTGCCTAACTTGTTAAAAGCACCTCAGGGAAGATCGTAAAGGGCTCCCCTTTCCCTGTGCCCCTCTGCTGGTTTCTGTGTTGTTTTGAGCCCTCGGAAAGCCCATTCCTACAGCACCACTGGGCTGGCCCTGACGTAGCCTTGGTGATGCCCAGGATGACAGATGAGGATCCCCAGTGGCCACTTGCTGGGAGCGTCACGCCGTGTCTTTGGGGTGGGTTTTCTGTTGCTCTGAGATTGGGACACTGTCCTCTTCCTGTGCCAGGAGTGAGATGAAGCGCTGGATGACCTCACTGGCCCCCAACAGGAGGACCAAGTTCGTTTCGTTCACATCCCGGCTTCTGGGTAAGTGGCAGCTGGACAGGTGGCAGCTTGTGGCGCGGTGCTGCCTGATGGGCTAGGCCTCAGCTCCAGCGCCCTTTGTGCTCTGCCTGAGAAGGATGTGCTTCCTGAGTCGTGGGCATTCTAGAGGCCTGCAGGGCCCCCAGGAAGCTGCCCCTGCCGGCCCCAGGTCCTGCATACTCACTGGAAGCTTAGTGCCCGACCAAGAATGTCGGCTGCCCAAGCTCTACGAACATTCGGTGGTTAATGCAGAAACCAGCAGTCTCCAGGTCTTAAGTGTCAGGCACCACCTGGACACCAGGGGGAATTTCGGCCTAAACCTCTGTCGGAGTTGCCAGTTGTCTGAGAAGCGCATAAACTATAAAGGAGCACAAGTCCAGCGCCTTATAGAGAAGCTGCTGACTTTGACCCTGTGCATCTCCTGCTGACCACCCAAAACTGCCCTCGGGACCACACCCCAGGAACCAGAAGTTCCTTCTGAAGTCTAAACTAAGAGCCACCTCACAGCCTACAAGTCCCTGTATCCATGTAGTTTTTCCCCAGAACTCCTGGCTGTTTTCTTTGGAAACAAATCCTCCTCTTCCTCAAATGAACCCTTTTTCAGTTGCTGGGAGTTTGTTTTCCTATTTTAGACAGGGCTGGGCCGCCTGCCGGCAGCACCGTTCCCGCTAGCCACTGGGTGGGGCCCAGGGCATGCCTGAGTGGGGACGGGGCAGGTGACGTGGTGAGGGGTGTGCCACATCCCTGTTTCCCTCATCAGACTGCCCCCAGGTCCAGTGCGTGCACCCGTACGTGGCCCAGCAGCCTGACGAGCTGACACTGGAGCTCGCTGACATTCTCAACATCCTGGACAAGACTGAAGACGGTGAGGCCTGGTGGTCCCCCCATGCTCCCCAGCAGGCTCTGCACTGGGCTTTGCCCAGCCTGGGGCAGGAGGGTGAGGCAGGGTCTCGGCCCGTCACAGCTGGCCAGTGGCAGCCTGGTCTCAGTGCTGCCTACACACTCTGCCCCAGCACCCACGATCTGGCTTCCTTTGGCCTTTCCCCAGAACCAGAGAAAGGATTTTTTATCAGTGCCTCTATTTTCCTCCCCTAGAGCTGTGAGGTCCCACCTTTCCCCCTTTGCAGTGGGCGCAGCCCAAGCAGGTGGCTCCATGTCCCCTTCCCCTTGGATGGCCCTGGCCTTGGCCCATCACAGTGGGAGGGAAGACAACCAGGAACATCCTGACCCTGACCCCAGGCCCCACATTTGCAACAAGCTTCCAGGTGAGTCCTTGACCACCAGGTCCGGAGCCCCATGTGGGCCAAGAAGCCAGCCCCGCTGATGGCATCAGTGCCAAATGAAGTTGGCTCCCAGCCCCTACAGAATTTGACATTCATCACCTTTCCGGGGTTTTTTTTTTTTTTTTTGTGGCTGGCCGCCATGGGGATCCAAATCCTTGACCTTGGTGTTATAACACTGAGCTCTAACCAAGTGAGCTAACCAGCTAGCCCCCCATTTCCGTTTTAAAGTCAGATCCCTGTTTCCGCATTAACTGCTCCTGATCAAAAGTGTACAAAAGCATCTCCCTTTTCCATTCCCTCCTCTCCTGCCAGGTCCTGGCTAGAAGACCTCAGGCTGGTGATCTCCAGGGAAGGCCATCTCCACTGAGTCCCTCTTGTGGGCTGAGTTCCCAGAGTCCTAGGGGCTATCCCCCCCCTACAGAATATAAACAGCCTGACACCCCTTCCTAATGGACTTGTAGAGGGCATGTCCCAGGCCCCTGGAACCCCAGGTCAGGAGATGCCACAGATCCAGCCGCAGGCCCTGGGCAAAGACATGGTGGCCTCTGGGAGAGGGAGGAGGCAGAGAAAGCAGGGGAAAGAGAACCAGGCCACTCTGTGACTCCTGGTGTTGGCCATTTCATGACGGCCACCCTCAGCTGACCACGCTGGCCCTCAGTAGGCTGAGACTCTGGGAGGAGGAACTGCCCAACAAGAGGGTGATCTCAAAGTCCAGGTCGGATAATCAAGTGGTTAGCCTCCATCCCCACTGGCCCCTTGGATCCCTCTCACTTTGGGGGTTCTTCTGGCCTCCTATAGGGCAGCCTAGGATTGCTAAGGTTCTGGAGTGAGTTCCAAAGTAAGTGCAAAAACTCATGGCACAGAGTGCAGCTGCTTCCATCCACCAGGGCCTCGTCCTGTGCACATGTCCATATGCCACTCCAGCTTATGGGGGGGTAAACCCAAGCTGAGTGTCTCCATCAGGGAAAGGCCATGGGACTCCTGAGTGTCACTCAACTTTGCTCCCCACACAGACAGAAGCCCTGGCTGGGAGGGAGCCTCACCCCAATGTGTGCCCCTGCCCTGTTGAATACCTGACCCTCTCCACCCCTCCCCATGCAGGGTGGATCTTTGGTGAGCGACTGCATGACCAGGAGAGAGGCTGGTTCCCCAGCTCCATGACTGAGGAGATCTTGAATCCCAAGATCCGGTCCCAGAACCTCAAGGAATGTTTCCGTGTCCACAAGATGGACGACCCTCAGCGCAGCCAGAATAAGGACCGTAGGAAGCTGGGCAGCCGAAATCGGCAATGACCCCTACCTGGGCCGCCAGCCTGGAGGAGGGATGTGGTCGGGCAGGAGCAGGGCCTGGCAAGTGACCCTGACAGACGGTGGAGGGCGCTGGGGAAGGGCAGGACAGCACCAGCCCCGGCAGCAGGATGTGCCTCGGGTTGCCCACCCCTCCTCCCTGCCACGCAGTGAGTGCTCATGTGTCTTGGCCCTTGGCCCCTCCCTTCCTCGCTTGAAAACTGGAGAAAGGGTGCCCACGTCTCTCCTGACGCATTTGTAAACAAGAAAGTGTATTTTAAGCAGTATTATGCCACCTCTCTCTCGTCTCTTAGAGGGGTGGAGCAGCTGGGCATGCTCCAGGGGCCTTCCCGGGACTGGAAGAGGCCCCAGACCCAGGAGACCCTGGCGAGGGGTAGGTGGAAGGTGACAATGATCCCCTGCACGTGTCCTCTACCTTGGAAGCTGTTAGACTCTACCAGGCACACAGATGAGCTGCCCTTGGTCTCCGACTCACAGGACTGAGAGACCAGCCGCCTTTGTCCACCCGTCCCCGTGCCTCTGCCAGCCTCTGGCTGCACGACCAGGCCTGCTCTGTGGCAGGCCTACCAGAGCTTGGCTGAGGGCTCGTGCCACCTCTGGCTCCCTGATGGGCTGGACGTAACTTGTGTCTTCTGTCCCTTTAAGGAGCTCAGGTGTTATATGGAATGAATTGGTCACTGCATCCTGTTATCAGTTATGGTTCTGAGAAAATCAAATATCATTTTTGGCTGCATTAAAAGAAGCATCATGTATAAAATAAAGGAGGTGAAGTTCTATTCTTTATTGCCATGATGCACACAGGAATGAGGTGTTTTGTTCTGTTAGGGAGAGGGGAGACCCTCAGGGCCAGTGGAGAAGGCATGTCCCAAAGGAGAGGGTCTGGGAGACTTCCAGAGGAAGGAGCAGCCAAGTTCAGGCCTCAGAATGGGAGTGGATTTGGACTAACACTTGTGGAAAGACTTCAGAAACAAAATGGGATTATTTGAGGAAGTTGGGGAGGTGCTTTTGCTGCAGTGGAATTGAGAACACAGGTTTGGAAGACCACAGAGGCACTGATGTGTCAGTGGGCAGTGGTCTCACAGGGGACCTGACCACAGGCCTCATGGCTAGGACTTCCTGTCTGGCCCAGATGCTGATCTTGGGCACTTTGTGCCTTCTGTGGTAGCCAGTCACCCAGAAACTGCAGCTCCTCCCCGGCCCAGCTGGCCCTTACACCCATCCCCTACTGCCCCACACCACCCCATTCTGTCCTGGAGTTTTGAGGGAAACACTGCATGCCTGGGACCATGCCATCTGCCAGAACATTTTCTCCACACCAGAACAGGCCTTTGATTTAGATCCTGGGGGACTGTAGCATCTCCCCACAGGCCACCACACAGCTCTTGGCATCCCCGAGGCCTCGGACCCTGTGAGAATCTGCGAATCCCTGAAAGGATGCGTCCACCTGCAACACTGTGGTTAAATTGGGAGGGAGAGACCCACGTCCCAGCACAGAACTCGTGCTCTTGGGGCCTCTGTGCTGCAGCCCCATGGGAGCACCTGCTCCCCGGTCCCCCAGGAATGGGGGAGGGGGAGAGGGATCATTTCTAAGCTTGGAGGGCTCTTGGGGGGGTAGGGGGTGGAGACAAGGAGAGGGTGGCCATTGGTCCTGGCCCTCGCTTTCTGAGGCTGGGAAGCAGCATTTGAGTTGGATCATCTGCTCTAAGAGGGCTTTGGCTGCTCGAGGTTATGTAAAGTGAAATAATTTGAGCAGTTTGGTGAAAATTGGTCCATTTTATAACGCTCCTTTATAAGCAGAAACTTTTAGCCTCGGTGTGTTTTGGGGAGACTGCTGGAGTGGGACACTAAATGCAGACTCCACTGGGGCCTGCGCCTGCCGCCGTGTATGTCACAGGCGTGTGAGCACCACCGGGCTCATCCAGAGTGTCCAAGAGTAGAAACCGGTCCCTGCAGCACAAGGTGCCATAGGGAGCTCAGGGAGCTCAGGGAGACCGGAGAGCCGGGAGCAGGAGGAGCGTCCCCGTCCAGCAGCGTCCGGGTCACAGGGCTCTTCCCGTCTCTCCAAACCAGACGACAGCCCTGGGGGTGGGCACGGAGTTCCGGCTTGGGAAGAAGGGCAGGTCGGCCACTACTTTAAATCTAAGTTAGCAAAGCTATGCGTCTTGCCAAGTGTGGAAGACAGAGTGCCAGGGCCAAACTGGGCGGGTGGGGAGTGTGCCCGGCGGATCCTCGCCCCTCACTCAGCCCCCAGGCTCGCGAGGTTGCAGTCGGGACAGTGACAACAACCGAGCCCGGGTGCCAGGCCTGGAGAGTAGAGGGGTCCGCAGATGAGGACCCCGCTGCCCGAGTCAGAGTCGAAAGACGCCCCCTCCCCCAAAACCCGCCGCCTCCCGCCACCTCCCAGCCCGGCCTCAAGGAGCGGGGCGGCGGGCCCCCGGCAGGCGCTCGCGGCCCCCGGCTTCTCCCTCCCTGAACGCTCCGCGCGGGGCGGAGGGGCCGGGGTCGCGCTCCCGCCCGTAATAACTTCGTATAGCATACATTATACGAAGTTATACGAACATAGGCTGTCAGAATGGGTAAAACAACATGCCTCAAATATATGCTGTTTACAAGAAACTCACTTCACATATGATAGGTAGGTCAGAAGTAAAACGATGAAAAAAAAAATCACGCAAACAGTAATCAAAAGAAAGCTGCAGTAGCTATTTTTATATTACACAAAGTACATTTCAGAGCCAAGAAAATTGCCAGTGATGAAAAGAGACATTACATAATAGTAAAAGAGCCAATTCACCAAAACAACATAATAACCCTGAAGGTATAGGAACCATTCACAAAACTTTGAAATACATTAAGCAAAAACAGATGGAATTAAAAGGAGTAATAGACAAATTTATATAGCTGCAGACTTCAACATTCCTCTCTCAGTAATCAACAGAAAGAATAAACGGAACCGCCCTGGTCCAGCCGCTCCCGCGCTGTGCTGTCCTCCGGACCCGGCGCGGCGGTGGGGGCCGGGGGACCGGTGACCGCGGGCTCCTGGCCCAAACTGGTGCTCTCCGCCGGGCCTTCTCCCGACGGCAGCTCTGCGGGCTCGTTCCACAGGGTGGGCGCGGGCTCCTGCGGACCCTCGGCTGCAAAGCCAAAGATAGGGAATGGGGCCCAAGAGCCAGGGCCGACAGGGACGTCGCCCCCAAGGGTAACCAACTTGGGGGCTGCTATGTGCGGGGCTCCAGGGCTCAGCAGTACACTTGCCCTCCCATTTCACAGGCGACGCACCCGTGAAATTCACTCAAGGCCGGAGGCACGAGTCTGTTGCCCAGAGCCCCTACTGCGACCAGCCTACCTGCAGCCCCTGTGAGGACAGATTGATTGTGGGGGAGGAGGGAGGTGGGTTAAGGAACCAACAGACCCTCAGAAAAGGGCTGCAAGAAACTGCGTTGGCAGCAGAGCTTCAGGGCAGCTGAAGCAGGGTGACATGGGCCCAAACCCCAAGACTGGGCAGGGGCTTGGCCTCTCCTATCTGAACTGCAGGGCTGCATGGGCCTGGGTGAGGTGACACAGTGAGAGACCCTCTGCCCCCACAGGGCAGAGACAGGGCAGCCTCCACCGTGGGGAAGAGGCTGAGAACCAGGGTACCTGCCCGCCCCAGGACCATGAGGACTCCACTGCTGCACAAGTGGAGTGGAGTGGAGAGGAGAGGCCCATGAGACCTGGGGCACGGCCAGCCCTTCTTCTCCTCTTTGGCCCTAACCTGGACAGTCGTGCAGCCCACAGGACGTGGGGACCAGCCCAGGGCAGCTGACACCAGCATCTTGTTGCCCCCTGAAGGACAGGATGGAGGGTGGGCAGGGATGTCTATCGTCAGAGTAAGGGGACCACCCACACAAGCTGGGGCTCAGTCAGCCTATCAATCTCTGTGCAACCTTTTCTGCAAGAGCCCTCTGCCCATGGGTTTGGGAGTTAGCAGGGTTTCCAGTACCCAGGGACCCCAGAGAGGAGGAAGGAAACATTCTCAGGTCCTGCAGGAAGCCCAGTATGTGAGCCTTCAGGATAGCCCAGCCTTAGCCCCACCTTGGCCCCAGCCAACCCATGCCAGTGTGCTCTCCCCAGGCCCACCCCCAGGAAGACTGGTCTTAGGAGTCATACGTCACCATCCCAGCCCTGGGCCCATCCATCCTTCCCAGAGGCCCCAGAAATGCAGCAAAGTTCAAGGCTGGGACAATAGGCAGGCTCTACGCCTCTCCACTTCAACCCGACCATCTGACATCACAGCTCTGGCAGGGTCAGGGCCTGCCCATGCCCTACTCTTCACTGTGATCCAGGGACATACAGTCTCCAGGCAGGTCCTTAGAATGGGGTTAGTGGGCATCATGATACACCATCTTGTTGACTCCAGCTACTCGGTGGCATGGGAATGTTATCCCTACTTAAAAACCAAGGCTCAGAGCCAGCCAGTGGCTCACTTGGGAGAGAGTGGTGCTCATAACATCAAGGGCACAGGTTCGGATCCCTACGGATCCCTACATAGGGATGGCCAGTTAGCTCACTTGGGAGAGCGTGGTGCTGACAACACCAAGTCAAGGGTTAAGATCCCCTTACCGGTCATCTTTAAAAAAAAATCCAAGGCTCAGATTAAGCTCAGGTGGGCCGTGGTGGTAAGTCCTGGGTTGATCTGTAGCCCCTGGACAATGCAGTAACCAGTTGGTGCTTCCCAAGAAACACCCAAGTTTTACTTCTGTTCATGCAGCCCCAGCCAGCCGGCCTGCAGGTCTCTGGGGCACGTTTTGTCCCTGCAGGCTCCATCCCTGAGCCTTCCCCAGGGCAGGCCCCATGCACACCCTGCTCCCAGGTTCACCAGCTCCCAGGGAAGGGGATGCTCAGAGAAGACACAGAGGTGCTTCTGGGGGTTTCTGCCAGTGATACCCATCTAGGGCAAATGAGGAAACATCAGCCAAGCCCAAGCTCGGGGTGACTTTTAATATAAGTGGGCCTTTCAAAAATATCAGGGTCAGAAAAGACAAAACAAGGTTGAGGAATTGTTCCCGATTGGAGACTGAGACAACTAAATGCACGTTGTGTTCCTGGATGGGAAAGGGAGAGTCCTGCTATAAAAGACACGTGGGATCCCTTGGTGCAATTTGCAGAAGGCTGCAGCTTAGCACTGCGCATGTTCGTTTCCTGGTGTTGATAACTGTCTTGTGTGTAAGGGAATTTCCTTGTCCGTAGGAAGCATTTGGGGGCAAAGGGGTGTGATGTCTGCAACTTACTCTCTAATGATCAGCATTCAGATGGGTAGATAGAGAAGAGCAATGTGGCAAGTGGTGGTGACTGGTAAATCTAGGTGACATATCTACTGGAGTTTACTGGATTATTTATGCAACTTTTCTGTAAACTTAAAGAGATTTTCACAATAAATTTTACATCCCTGAGTCCTCAGGCCCTGCCTCTGCAGCTCTGCCAGCCTATCACATTCTCCCAAGGTCTGAGGCTCAGCTTGCCGGTAAAGACCACTGGCACATTCCCCAGGGCTTGTCCAAGCCAGAACCCCTTTTCGAAAAGGACCCCTGTGGAAGAAGACCCTCCACCTTGGGGCAGAAGGCTGGTTTGTGCCCACTCCGGGAGGCTTCCCTCTCTTGGGGCCCAAGGCTGAACTGTAGCACTGATGCATGGCTGCCATCACAGGCTCCCACCAACCTCAAAGACCACCCTGGGAGGAGGAAGAGGTGACCTAGCCAGGCCTCCCATGTTGCAGCCAGGGAGGGCAGGGGTCTGCAGCCTAGCAGTCCCCATGGAGGGCTCCAGGCACCAGGCATGCTAGCCTCAGGCTCCCAGGGGCTGGGCAGAGAAAAGGCCTGAGTGTGTCCCTCACTTGGCAGCCCTGAGGGCTGGGCTCAAGGACTGCCTGTCTCCCCAGAGAAATGGGCAAACCACGGGCCCCTGCTTGCTCGCCACACACCCAAAACAGACTGGCAGGCAGGCACCTCCCTGTCCTATCACTCCCAGGCCTCTGGCCAGGTAGGCCGCTACAGAGCCACTGGGTTCCAGGCCCAGCCAACTTGGGTGGTGTCTGCAGGAATCAGCCCTGAGCTCAGAAGGAGGTGACAGGCCCCAGAGCACCTATGAAGGCAGGGCGCACTCCCCAGAGCTCACCCAGCACAGTGAGCTGCCACTCGGGGGGGAAGAGTCACCCTCTGAGCAGGGCAATTGTGAGGCACACCCCGAGACTCAGCTTCTCTCTGCTGCTCCCTTGAGAAGCCTCAATGCCCCCCTCAAGACACACCCATCCAGCCCACCTCATCCCTTCTGTGTGCACCCCTCCTGCCAGCTAGGTCCCTGCAGCCTGAGGGGCTGGGCCTATTGGCTTTCAAATCAGGAGGGCTGGGGCCTACCCTAGCTTCATCCTGCTCTCGCCACGGGAGCCCAGCAGCCTGGCTTCACACCCAGCTTCACCTTCCTGACCTGTAAAGTGGGGGCTCAGCCCATGCCCCTGAGGCACCTTGCACAAGGAGCCCCTCTGGCCTGGGGGACACATCTGGACACAAGCCCAGCTGCTGTGTGTGCCTGCTGTTGCTGGCCGTCACAGGACACCCTGGAAGGCTGGTCCAGAGCTCATCTGCATCCAAGAAGCCAGGACCCCAGGGTCCAGCCAGCTACAAATGCAGGCTGGTGGCCCAGTGGCAGACACACAGGCCCTGAGCCACAGCCTGAACTTGGCCACCAACCCGCCAGCAAGAGGCGTGGCTGCCGTGGAAGGGCCAAGGCACTCCTACCCTCATCTGTATTTCTCTGCATTTTCTAAATTTGCTGTAGTAAGAATGAGAAACAAAGCTTAAAGGCAATAGCCCCTCATCCCCCAAAATCTGTCTTCCTGGGAAGCCAGGAACAGAAGCAGTTGCCAGCCAGTTGGCCAGCAGGAGGCCCTGCCCAAGGAGGGGTGAAGATGGGAAAGAAAGGCCGGGCTAAGGGACACGCTGGAGCAAAGGTGTGAGGACAGAAGCCACAGGCACGTCAGGTGAGCGTGCACAGGCTCAGTGACAGAAAGTGAGCGTGGAGAAAGGGTAGGGCCACAGAGGACCCCAAAAACATTCCCTCCGCCTTGGCTGTGATGAGGCCCAGACTCCATGGACCAGAGTGAGCAACTATGCGCTCTGATCAAGGCAACCTAGGGAAGCAGGGGCCTGCTTGTGCTGTCACAGCCTGGCCTCCGAGGGCTCTCCCCCAGCCCCGCCGCCCCTAGCTGCCCTGCCGCCCCTAGCTGCCCTGCCTTTCGGTAAATAAGTTTGTTCAACGTTCAGTCTTAACCACAAGGGCCTGAGACTAGGCGCCCATGCTCACAGACAGCCTTTGTGCAGGCCATGAAGGGCCTTTTCATCCCTTGGACTGGCCTCCTGCCCACCCGCCCAAACTGGCCTGCTCCCCCCTCCCCCCCGTAGCTGCGGCCACTGCACCCGGCGGGGAGGGCAGCAGGCCAGGCCTGAGCCTCAGCCCACAGGGCGACTCCGTCCCCTCAGGTCTGCTGCAGGACCCCAGCCCATGATGCAGAGGGCAGGGGGCCTGCCTGGCCTTGGACACACCTGCTCAGAGCATCTAGTCCAGGGGTGCAGTCCTGAGAGCCTCCCAAACACACTTCCTCCAGAACGGACAGAACAACAGTCAGAGCCTCAAAGACCCTGGGTGGGGTTGGCAAGCTCTGGCCCCCTGCCTGCCGGGCCTGCCTGCTTTTGGTAGGACACATGGAGGGAGACGGGAGGGGAGGCCAGGTGAGGTCCTGGCTGTCCCTGAACATCCTGTGACTGCAGACGAAGCCAATGCACCCACATTGTGTATGTACAGTCTAACCCAGGAGCCTCTGGTTGGCGGCCTGGGCTGGGAGAGCTGGCTGCACAGGGGCAGGAACCTGGACAGGAGCCACCAGGCATCTCAGGCCCCAGGGCAGGCAGGAGCCAATGTCCTCACCTCCACCCATGTGGACCACCTGGTGAAAGGAGCAGTTTCATTGGGGTGAGGGGAGCTGCCAGGATCACAGTCCCAAGGTCCAGGCAATGGAAGATGCCACCCTATGCTGGTGGGCACTTCCCCAATTGCTGAGTGTACCACACTCGCCTGCCAGCTGGCACTCCTCCCACCTGAAGGGAGGCTGGGTGCTTTTCCAGCATGCAGAAGGAGGTAGTTCTGCCCTGAGACCACCCTGGGCTTGGTGGAGGGGCTGGGGATGCTGAATATACATTCCCCTAACATTTACTGAACGCCAACTGGATGCCTGTCCTGTCCTGAAAGCTCCACATATCTGAGCTCGCAGTTAGGCCTCCTAGTCCCTGCAAGGGAGGCAAGGCATGGCAGGCATCACATCCTACAGATGAGAAAGCACAGAGAGGTCAAGACACAGCCAGGTGGGGACCAAGCCAGAAGCCAACCCAGGCCACAAGCCTCTTCCTGGGCCGTGAGGGGGTTGCACCAGACCTCACGTCCCCCAGCAGCTCTCTCATGACAGAGGTCCATTCCCCTCCCTCACAGATCCACAGACACCCCAAACACCCAGGCTTCCGGTTGCCTTGAGACACGCTCCTGGGACACAGAGGTAGGTTGCCCTTCGGCCCAACTCCTGGCCAACAGAGCTTGCTTTTCTTCCCAGAGCAAAGCCTGTCCATGAGCCTCTGTACCTTTTCTCTCTCAGGCCCTGAAGGCGGCCTGAGCCAGCCCCTCCCAGTGCAGGGCCCCTGGGAGCCTGCTGTGGGCCTCCCTCTCACCAGACCCCAGAACTTGGCATTTTAGCCTCAGTCCAGAGCTTAAGTCCAGCGCTCATGGTTTGTGGGGGGATCTCAGGCCCTGTGCTCTGAAATTTTTCCCAAAATGGGGACAGTACCTGGGTCTTCATCTTCCAAGGACATGGCAGGAACCACCAGGGAAGTGTTTGCAGGGTTTGAAAAGTAATAAGCAACGGTTCCGTGGTCTTCTGTAGGGGCCCAGGGGACTCCAGCCCCTCAGCCACTTGCCCTGTGCCTGGTGCCCCCTCCTGCCTCTCAGATCTGGAAGCCTTCAGATTTAGAGTGCTAGAGTAATCCCCCAGAGAGCTAACGGTCCTGCTTCCCAAGACACCCTCCTACTTCAGAGGCCATTGTCCCTGTTGCAAACATTCCCTAAGACTCCATCCTCCGCAGCTGCTGCCAGCCGGTCTCATGGGATCTCTTCGCAAAGTCACCCAAATGGCCATCCCATCTCCTATGAGGAGCTTCCGCCCCAGTGGACATTGGAGAATTTGGTCCCAAAGTAGTTTTGGGGACTGGGAGCTGGTGGTAACAGAGCCAAAGGCCTGTGCCCCTTACCTGTAAGCACTGCAGGGGCCAGGACCCCCGAGACGAGCAGCAGTGCCATGCGCAGGGCCACACAGGATGCCATCCTGGCTGTGAGCGAGTGTGGCTGGCGAGCGGGATGCACAGAGAACTGAGCTGGTGAAGTTCAGGGCAGCAAGAACGAGGCATCAAAGGGCTGGGAAGGGTTTTCGTCAATGCAAACTCTGTCCTCCTGGGACACCGTGCCCGCCCCCCACACGCGCACGCACATACACACACACACAAGCACAGCAAAAGCTTACAGAACAGACCTGCTTTCCTGAACTCGAGAGCAGCCCCACCCTCAGAGAAGGAAAGAGGAAATCGCTTGCGCTCTCTCACAAAACACACACACACACACACACACACACTCACTCACTCACTCACACACGAGGACATACACCTCCCACATACTCCTGCGCCACTGGAAGTGAGAGGTTTTCAAACTTCCCTGTGCAAAGAAATCACCAGGAGAACTTGATGTATGCAGATGCCTCCAGCCATTCTGTTTCAGCAGGTCTTGGACAGACCCAGGAATCTGCATTTTGATGCCTGTGTCCCAGGCTCTGGGAGACTTGTCCTTAGGCAGTTATCACTGAGCACCAGCTGGGCTCTTTTCACATTTGGCTTCTTCATGCCTGGCCAGGAGTAGGCACTCCACAGAGCTTGTTAAAGAAGCACTTTTAAAGCAGTTTCGATCCAAACATTCTGGCAGCTTTAAACTCATTAAGTGCCCTGCGTCCTCTCTTTTGTTCTCTTCTCTCCCAGTTCTCTCTGGTCCTGAGGCTTAAAAACACCACCCGTGTGCTCATGACGTCCATTTCCCCCCCAGGCCTGGCCCAGAACATCAGGGCACTGCTCATGCCTTCCCAACACCTCCACCCCTGCTCAGTCCTTGGAATCCCAGTCTCCCACCTTGCAGGCGTCCTAGCCACACCATTAAAAGTCACCAAAGGTCTATGTCTTTCCCTCCCCCTCCCCATCGTCAGAGCCTTCAGAAGTTCCTGCCGCTCCACACTTCTCATGGTTTCCCACTGCTCTTTGAGCAAAAAGCCAAACTAAGGGCTTGCTTTGGCCCTACTCACCTCCTCCACTCCCCTCTCTATGTTCCAGTCCACTGGCCTTGACTAGGTTCCTCCAACACACCAAACTTGATCCTGTCTCAGGGCCTTTGCACTTGCGGTCCTCTCTCCCAGAAAGCAATCCGTCCCTAAGGCTCCTTACATGGCTACTTCATTTCCATTCAAGTCTCAGCTAGATCAGTCAGTCCCCCAATCCACCCATCACATCACCTTTACTTCCTTCTTAGCACTTACATTTACATGAAATTATTTTTTCTCATTTTTTTGTTAATTTTTTGAGGAATAACATACTGTGAAGTGCACAAATCTTATGTCTACAGATTGATGAACACATATATACACACACACCTGTGTAAGCACCATTCAAATCAAGAGAACATACAAGCAGGGCTCCCTTGTGCCCCTCCCCAGTCAACACCCCCAAAAGCACTCTTCTGTCTTCTATTACCATAGATTGTCTACTCTTGCACTTCAAATAAATGTAATCATGTCCAACATTCCGATTCACCTGTGTGGTTGCATGGAGCAGTAGCCCATTCATTTTTATTGCTGAATAGTATTCAGTTGTATGACTGCGGCACACTTCATCCATTCACTTATCCATTTTGCCCATTTATTTATCCAGATCCATTTGCGTTGTTTCCAGGTTTGAGATTTTACAGATACAGCTTCTATAAATATTCTTGTGCATGTCTTTTTGTGGATGTAGGCACTAATTTCCCTTGGTTGTATATCTAAGGAAAGAATTGCTAGGTCAAGGGTAGTATATGTTTAGCTTCTGTAGATACTGCCAAGCAGTTTTCCAATTTATGTTCTTAGCAGCAGTATGAGTTCCACTTGTTCCATATCCTCACCAATACTTGGTGTTGCCCATCTTTTTATTTCTAGTCATTTCAATAGGTATGTAGTGGTATCACACTGGTTTTGTGTTGCCATGACTAATAAAGCTGAACACCTTTCCATAGATATTGACCACAGGAATATCCTCTTTTGTGAAAGGTTTGCTCTGTTTTTTCGCCTATATATTTATATATATTTTTATCTATATTTTAAAATTTTTAGGAGTAAATTTAAAATTTTTATTTATTTATTTTTTTTTTAATTCCAGATAAAAATCCTTAGTCAGATATATGTAAGGGTATCCCTTTGGATTGTTTTTTGGTATCTCCACCCTGTGACTATAAATCCCAGGAAAGCAAGGTCTGTTTGTGTTCACGTGGGCATTCCCGGAACCAAGCACCATGCTCGGCCACAGCAGGGGCCATCAGTTGGGCCTTCTGGGATAGACTTAACACTGAGCATTTTCTCACTTGCTCATTCATTCATTCATTCGTTTGCTCTCAGCACTTTTCTGTGCTCCGCAATGTAACATAGCAACATCACATCCTCACCTTTCTGTGCTCCGCAATGTAACATAGCAACATCACGTAGAACCAGATCCCCATCAATAAATTCTGTGTCAACAGGTCAGGAGGTGGTGGCTTCGGAGACAGCCACAGAAGGCTGGAAGTACAGGCTCCTGGATCCTCTTCAGGCAGCTGAACTTGGACACCAGGAGCCTAGTGGACAGCACTCTGGCCTCTGAGTAATTTCTGCCCCTTTAGCCTAGCGTGGTGGCAATTTCTTAGTTACAGTTACTAATTTTTAAGGTAATAACTTTACCTTCCCTCTTTTGCCCCTTCGGTCCTTTAAACATCATCATAATAAATACCTGTGTTTGTTGATAACACTAAAGTCAAGGGTTTGGATCCTTGTACCAGCCAGCCACCAAAAACAACAAAAAATACAAATACCTGTGTTAAACCTCTTCTGTTTGTACACCTAGAGTCGTCTCTGTTTCCTAGTCAGACTCTGACCAATACAGTACTTGGAAACAGATACTGAGAGATCTCTTTCTGGCTTGGTTTGCCATCCTGTTTGAGCTTGAATGCAGTGAACACCTCATTGCCTGTGGGAAATGAGACACTGATAATGTACGGCCTGCCACACATTGAGACTTGTGGTTATTGAGCAACAAGTGCCTATTGAAGACAAGATTTAAAGGGCCGAGAGAGCTGCACTTGACATTTATGGTGGTAATTATGATCAAAATGATAGTGAAGCAGACTGGCTACTTTTTACTGCATTGTGTGCTCAGATAGAAAATGACAGCCCAGGGCTTTACATTCTTCAGGTCAAGGCATGATCAGAGAACTAGAACATTTCTATGGCAGTCTTCAAAAAAATCTTATTTCTTGTAGCAACAAAGTATAATTAGCTGCAATTTAGGCCCAAAATTTTAATGTGCAGGTTGCAGAATTACAATGTCAAGGTGAATTCATAGCCTTGTCAATTCTCTCAGGTGAAATTAAGGTACTGATTAGGAAGGAGTGAGACCTTGAGACGTGGGATGGGGATATTTGGGTAGATAAAACAAGTCTAAGAATCACCCACCCACATACACATCCCAAGGCCTCCCTTGAAGAAACAGCAAGCACTTCTCCCTTATCTGAAGGGAATAGTATTTTGTTGTCTGAATGATAACCTCATCTGTTAAGTTCTCTTGCCAGAGGATGCCTGTTCTCAAGATTCACCCTAACACTCCTCATTGCCTCCATATCCATAATTAGAGTTAAATATCAGCATTCCCAGGGAGAACCAGCACAAAGTCTGACATGAGGAAATAAACATAAACTGACACTGTTGTTAACATGCGCTAACAATAGATTAGTAACTGAGTACCAAGTTAGTAAGATTTTGCTAATTTATATTAATAGAAACCTGGAGAATAAGTGTGGGAATGAATTCTAAGGTGCTAGACTGAATGGACAGGATGTGAATCAGCCACATGTATTGATAGTGCAAGTGTGCTTAGTGGAGATTCTGAATCCAGTGTTTCAGCTCAAGCCTTTAAGAGTAGCTCTGTTTGTTTACTTGGCTGACTCAAACCTAGACTCAATAGTAGCCTAGGTGCAATGAGATTGAGAAGCCTAACAATGAAAAGGCGAGACGCCACAGGCTTAGGAAGAAAGGAATACTGGGGTAGATTTATCTTAGGTGGCTCACATTCTCAGTAGGTCCCAAAGTACATTCTCTTTACCATGACATTGAGAGATGTGTTGATAAGATGACCAGCTTCTTTTAAAAGATATGTTTCTGTAGGCCAGGGTTCATGATAGGATCACTGATTTCAATGGGAATAATGTGATTCTAAAGCAGCAGAGGCCAAGTGGCAGCACTGAACTGCTAGAGGCAAAGTGGATGCGACCACTGCCATGGATAGCAAAGACAGAGTGACCTGACCCCTAGGAATAAAACAGATGAGCAGCCTACGAATGTATCACTTGATAGGCAAAAACGGACAGGTGAACAGACACTTGTTATTTACTACAATGGAGTGCCCCTCACCTAGTTCCCAGACCCCCAATCTCCTGAAAAAGAGAGGAAACTTATCCGTAAGGACGGACCCTGAAAGGAGGCCACACGTGTAAACAGTAAATCTTCCCCAAAGGTGTTGGCAGCTATATGCCACAATAGCTGTGCACTAGGGGACGGGAGATACACATATCTTTCAGGGATCATTAGACATTGGCTCTGTGTTGACACTAATCTCTGGATAACCAGAATGCCATTGTATTCACCAAGTGAGAGCTTATGGAAGTGAAATGATAAATATAGTCTTGGCTTGAATCCATCTCAATGGATGAGAGGTAGGGAGAGGAGGCTGCCAGGGGGCAGGAGTAGGCAGCTGATAACCCATCCTGAGCAGGCAGCACCATGCCTGAGCCAAGGCTCCAAGCCCCTGGTGCATGCTCTATTATTCCATCATACTTTACTTATAAAACACAAATTCCAAAGATAAAATTAAGAATTTCAAGACAGTGAATTGTATTTCAAGTAATTCTTTTTTGGCAACTCTGGCAAGACACAAATCAAATAATTATTATAAACAAACTAAAGGGAGGAAAAAAAATACACTCTCAGACTAGACAAAAAATCTAAATTATACAGACTGCCGCAATGAATAACTTTGTACATATGTATTTTTGTAATGTTGG